GTGTGTCCCCAGACCAAACCAGATTATACAAAATAGTTTGCGTTCCTTTTTGGAAATCAACCAATGAGAGACGAGAATATAAACAAAATTAAATTATTTTTCCATAACAAAATTTAATCTGTTGACTTACTAGGTACAAGTGGAAAATACAGCTATTGCAAATGCTATTTTACTGCGATGATTATTTCTCAAATTCTGCCCATTTTGTTTTATGTAATAAAATATGCAACACTATACTGGACTTTGTTTGTAAAATGTTTGGTTGAACTTGATTATAAACCAAATAACAAATAAACATTTATAAGCTGGCAGACGTGTAGATGATGTATGTTTACATGTACATGTTTTCTAAAGTAAAAAGTAATACATGCATAAGATATGTTTCCCCTGCTCAGCATGGGGAGGTGGAAGTACCTTCACTGGATTCCTGATAAAAGTCTGTCTGTTGGTCCGGATCTGAACACACAGGAGTACTCGCATTAATGGGCGAATGTATGTTCTCCCCCTCGTTAAAATTAACCATTACATTCCGTCTTGTAGATGAGACATATATTCCCTTCTCGGAACATTCCTTGAACCTCTTGGTGTTTCGACTGTAGGACTATCGCTCGCCTCCCCTGTCAATTCCATATCTCTGGGTGAAAAACGTAGTATGTTACATGTTTGATATATGTACCTCGCACAATAATAATTCAAATCAGGTAAAATCACAATAATAACAAAAAGCCTGGTAGAGATATTTTTCAATCCAAATGCACACAAAGAAAATCGAAATTTTCCGTTTTTCCACCACACCGAATCATTTTATCACAAATTCACAATAATTTTAATTCCGTTTTTTACAGTGTTCACGCTTTACTTTCTACTCAACAAATGAATCCAATTGACACAGAAATCACTTCAAAACTGTAGACACATTGAAATGAAATCCATTGGAATCATCATACTTATTACACCGGAGTTATCAAAGCCCACCGCTGCTACTAATTGTAACGTTTTTTCCGCTACGGTCTAAGGGGAATAACTCTCAGTGTTTTCCATTTCTCCAAATGATATGATACACAAGTAATGCGCTTACGGTTTATTCACATTTTAAAATCCACATTACATGTATGTAAACAATTCGTAGTTATCATGTAATATTTCGCTACATTAACTTCTTATTATCCCGAGAATATACCGATATCTGATATTAACAGCCATTTTATGCTCATTCATAAAAATCTCTAACTTTAAAAAAAAAGTCACATTTTGCTAAATAATTGGAATCGAGGTACTTCAGATGAAATCCCGCACAAGCGCGAAGGAAATTCGTTTTTTTAATGCAAACAGAACTATTCCAAAACCCATCTACATGTGTACATACTATAATATCAGATTCTACTGACAGTTTATCACACAGGCTTAAAGCACAAGGAAATAATCCAAAGTTCCGCAATGAGTTTAGGAACAGATTCTGAAACAGATAATAAATTAATAAGAAATACACTCCCTTATACATGTATTTGTTTTGTTTTTTTTACGTCAACTGATACGAATTTAGTTTAAACCATATTTTATTTGAACATGACAAGCAAGAAATACAGGCAAGAAGTACAAAGATAAAAAAAGGATTCGGAAACAAGTTTCAAAAACTTATACTAATCTGTTTCCTAATTATTAATGATAAAGATGACATACCCTTATTAGATAGTTACATAACACGGTTATGAGCTGTATTACAACAATATGATACGAATTTCTTTAAATGGCTCTTCTTAGATGTTACAAAAGCTAATTCATTCTGTTTAACTATGTTAAACATTATGTACTACGGGTGCTCATTGACATTTTCTTTTTTCGTATATGTTAGAAACTTTATTTTTCGTTATTTTCCATTAATCGACATTTATTTCTAAAACATTAACACAACTTACTCAATAAATACAAAAACTCATTGTGTTAAAAATTGCTAATACATTTATTTCAATACCAATTCGTGTGATAAATAGGCCCTAATGGCCTCGATTTTCGTTTTCGTTGCCATCTGACTTCCTAGAACTTTCAACAAAGAGTGAGATCGGACAAAAACGGAAAGCATTTGCACACTTTGTAGCTGCAGCTAGAACAGCAGCTCTCTTAAAAAAATCTACTTCTTTGGCAATTGAGATTAGAATATGGGAGAATCAATCCAGAACCAATCGCAAAATTTTATGTACAAAAAATATACAGTTTTTTTTTCATTGGGTGGCAGTGTAGCTCTCCGGTCTGTCAATATATTTTTCGGACAGCTACAGCTCTGTAGCTACATTTTTTTTGTTTCTTAATCAGTGACCAGAGCTTATTCATTTTATATGACTTAAAACAAGTTTTGATTGAATAATTCATTTGAGACTTTCATGAAATAAATAAGCGGTTGGGCCAAAATAATAAAAAAAAATAACCTCAACAGGTTGTATCCCCTAACGCGACCGACTCAATTAAATCGTGCCGACTGAAAAGATTTATCAAATAAGATGATTCAAATATTTTTATTGTTAACCAAGTTTTATAAAATACAATTTCATCAAAATCAGTTTTTATCAGAACGGCCGACCTTGTTCATTAGCAGATGAGGGACCCACCTAGTGAACACGTCATTCAAACATCATTCAATTTCCTTGCATTTATTTAATCTGAGTTTTGATCTAATACACATGTAACTAGGTCATATATGTCCCCATGTTAACTATACGTCATTATATAACAATAGGACCTGTTGTAAATATGTCTGCATATTCATCCTGATAAATATAATTCAGATGTCCGTTCTTCATGCCTTCATTTATGGGTTAAACTTCGTGACTATGACATTGTATATAGCGTTTTTATCATTTGTAGAATTTGGTCCAATTAATTACATACTCTTTGCAAATAGTTTTGAAATCATGATTCATCTTCCTGAAACATCCAGTGTATTTTTCTTTAATTAGGCCCTTGATGATTGGTCAGGGGCGTAGCCAGGGTACATTTGATGTGGACGCCTGGATAGGCTGGGAGTTTGGGGGCTGCCTTAAGGAAGCTTGTAAATTTTCGACTATTTCGATGTGCATGTTTGACCCTTCTGATAGCATTTTTCTTACACTTTTTCGGTCTGCAACGCAGCCACATTTAAGATCTGTCCCATGAAATCAAGTTTAGACTTTTAAAGCTGGACAAAATACGTATGGTAACATACGGTAATTGGTTACAGTGGTTGACTGGTTTAGACAGACCACGCAATTGACTGATAGTCAGGTTTACATTAATATTAAAAATACATCTCTTAAGATTGAAATAACAAAAAACAGAAGAATTCTTTTCAACGCATTTTCTTGCACATTACCTATGTACATTGTATACATTTTAAACCGAATGTTCATAAATATTCAAAAATCTGATATCTTAAACTTTTTGCAACAATTATATACTATTTGTTTTAAGGTAGTGTTACGGATGTCAATACTCAAACAGGCCTAATTATTATTATTTTATTTTTTTTTAGGTTAAACAAAATTTTACCAATTTTTCGATTTTTGATGTTCATTTATAAAGCTGAATTATGATTCTTGAAGTCTCGCATGAATCCGATATTAGGTTAAAATTGGGGGGGGGGGGGGTGTTGTTCGGGTTCGTTGCAGAAGTTAACCATTGCGGTTGGAAAAATCAGCAATAGTAAACCAAAGTCCGGGTAAATATTTTGATTTCAGTTAATATCGTATTTCCACCCAAACTGATTCTGTTGATTTTCATTTTTTTGTCTTTAATTCTAAATTGTTTCTAAGTATTTTTTTTATTTTTGAAATAGTTTACTAATATTTTGCAAAAATGATAAGCATGCTTCGCTCTCCTCTCCTTACTTTTCTTTTTCTTTCTTTTTTTCTTTTTTGAAAAATGATGTGGACGTTTGTGCGTACAAACGTACGCCTGGCTACGCGCCTGTTGGTTATTTCTTTATTTGATCCCTTTGAACATTTTCAAATTTAGACAGTACTCAGCACTTTTTTTGCCATTTAGCAGTTGGGATCTTTTATGCCAGCATCTTCTGCGACACTAGACATTAGTTTTTATGGTCCCATTTGAAGGATCCTATTCAACGTTTCTCAATCGGATTTGAACCTGCGACTAAAAATTAGCCACTTCTTAACTTCAAAGCAAAATGCTTTGGAACCACTGCAAATCTCATGGCCCTCAAAAAAAAAAACATTGATTGTATATAGTATATTAAGACTGGAGGCTAATGGAAGGCTTAAAAAATAAACTAGGATGTCCGGTCTTTGTGTATTTGAGAATCTTGCCTTTTTTTAATTCGATTTATATCAATGTACCCTGGCGTGAGATATTTCAGAAGTTCAAATGAATAACAGTTGTGAATCAATTAATCATTAAATTTGCTTTTTAACGGCATATGTTTGATTCTTAGCATTTTGTTCTACTTTTTTTTATTCATAAAGATGATTTCCATTAGATTTAAAAATGTATTTTCAAGGCTGCTGTCAGAAAAAAAATGTTTACCTACCTACCGAACCAACCTGAAAATTTAGGGTCGGGTTAGGAGATACAAAGATATTTTTAACTCCAGCCTTGCTCGTTGTCAGTTTTATTATAAAATGCCAGTAACTTAGATCCGCAAACCGGAACCACCACTTTACTCTCTTTTATGCTATTTTGAGGATGTTAACGGAAAATGAAAGAAGAATGATATTTAATTAAATTTACTATAAATACTATGAGATTGAAATCTGAATATAGTTTACGGACATCACCTTACACCTAATGTATTCATACAGGCTTAAGTAAGAACTTTTGTGTAGCCCTTAATTGCGGAGTTTATTTGCAAAATTTGTCATAGTCATTTGGAGGAAATCATCAGCGTCTTTTTGCGGCACAGTCTGTAAACCTTGTGTTTTTTTTCATAACTGCAATATTTTATTATATTTCAGATATTGAAAGCCAAATCTTTATTTGTTGCACTTTTGCAGTGAGCTATGGTTCGTTATCTGTACCTGTTTCTAAAGTTTGTTTCAATCTGGAGCATTGGATGGTGCCAGGATACTTTTTTTCCTAATGAAACCTCATTAATAGATTCCATGGTAGCAGACCTGATGAAATGCAAAAACATACCAGGTGAGACATCCTCTGACACTGTTGGCTGTGTCTTCATCTTTATATAAAATAAGGGGCCAATTTCTGTCGTTATCATACCTTGTCCTCTCCTTTTGATATGTTAACTTTGTGTAACATCGATTCGAAAGCAACATACGATGAAGTAATATCAAATCTATAACATACTCAGTATGTGAATAGAGTTTAGCTCTCCTCTACGCAAAATGCAATACTAGTAACTCCCAATGTAATTATTAAGAAGTGTATGTATGTTTATTCTGGGGAATTACATTCTGCAATGATCTGGACGGAAAATTGAAATATGTATGATCCAAAAAGATGCCTTTTCCCTTTGAGTTATAACATTTAACGCTTCGCGGATTAAAAAGCGTAAACTGACCCAAACCAGGTTATTCTCGAATAATTTGGCCAAGAGTCATTCTTTAAATAATGCAAAACTTAATAATGTCAGTTTATTGAAATTTTCGTTGCTATTACTTTTGCGTTATTTCATACCTACACTGCACTCAGTAATTGTACTACCCTCCACTACTTATTATCAGAGGGTCTACATTTTGCTCTATTCGCGATTTGTATTATTTAAATAATTAGAGAGATTTGCCACTATTCACCGTTTCATGAACCTGTATGTAATGAAAGAAGACTGTTTATAAAAGCTTATTAAATGAATATAATACTCAGTATTTAATATTTATAATTACATGTATATACATGTAAATGCATGAAAAAAAGGTGACTGAATATTATATAAGAACAATTACTAGATCGTAATTAGTCCTGTTTATTGTCTGAAAATAAAATCTAAATAAATTCTAGGAAATATCTACACAATCACATTCCTTATTCAATGTAAAACAGTAACAAAGGCTTCCTTTTTTGTATTTTTTTTATGTATTGTTTTTTTTAGCTCACCGGAGCCGAAGGCTCAAGTGAGCTTTTCTGATCAAATTTTGTTTGTCGTCCGTCTAGCTGTCTGTCTGTCCGTCCGTCTGTAAACTTTTCACATTTTCGACTTCTTCTCAAGAATCACTGGGCCTATTTTGACCAAACTTGGTACAAAACATCCATGGGTAAAGGGGAATTTAAATTTTTAAAATAAAAGGCCAAGTCCCCTCACAAGGGGAGATAATCAAGAAAAGACAAAAATATGGTGGGGTCATTAAAAATCTTCTTCTCAAGAACCACTGGGCAAATAAGGCTGAAACTTATGTGGAAGCCCCCTGGGAAAGTGTAGATTCTAAATTGTTCAAATCATGACCCCCCGGGGGTTGGGCGGGACCACAATGGGGAATCAAAGTTTTACATAGAAATATATAGGAAAAATCTTTGAAAATCTTCTCCTCAAGAACCACTGGGCAAGAAAAGCTGAAACTCATGTGGAAGCATTGTGGGGTAATGTAGATTCTAAGTTGTTTAAATCATGGCCCGGGGGGTTGGGTGGGGCCACAATGGTGAATCAAAGTTTAACATAGAAATATATAGGAAAAATCTTTGAAAATCTTCTTCTCAAGACCCACTGGGCCAGAAAAGCCTAAACTGATGAGGAAGCATCCTGGGGTAGTGTTAATTCTAAACTGTTCAAATCGTGACCCCCGGGGATAGGGCGGGACCACAATGGGGAATCAAAGTTTACATAGAAGTATATAGGAAAAATCTTTGAAAATCTTCTTCTCAAGAACCATTGGGCCAGAAAAGCTGAAACTTATGTGGAAGCATCCTGGGGTAGTGCAGATTTTAAATTGTTCAAATCATGACCCCCGGGGGTTGGGCGGGGCCACAATGGGGAATCAAAGTTTTGCATAGAAATATATGGTAAAAATCTTTAAAAATCATCTTCTCAAGAACCACTGGGCCAGAAAAGCTGAAACTTATGTGGAAGCATCCTGGGGTAGTGTAAATTCTAAATTGTTCAAATCATGACCCCGGGGGTAGGGTGGGGCCACAATGGGGAATCAAAGTTTTACATAGAAATATATAGGAAAAATCTTTGAAATCTTCTTCTCAAGACCCACTGAGCCAGAAAAGCTGAAACTGATGTGGAAGCACCCTGGGGTAGTGTAGATTTTAAATTGTTCAAATCATTACCCCCGGGGGTAGGGCGGGGCCACAATGGGGAATCAAAATTTTACATAGAAATATATAGGAAAAATCTTCTTCTCATGATGCAAGAACCACTTTACCAGAAAAGCTGAAACTTATGTGGAAGTATCCTGGGTAGTGTAGATTTCAAATTGTGTAAATTATGATCATTGGGGCATATAGTGGGGTCACAATATGTATAACAAGGGGGAAATCTGGTAAAGAACAATATGACAAAAGATTCTCAGGTGAGCGTTGTGGCCCATGGGCCTTTTTTTTTTTTTTTTTTTTTTTGGATTTTCAAATATTTTTTGCTTTGATGTTTTTTCTTCTAAATTGTCTACTAAATTTTTCCGTATGTCTGATCACGACAATGATCACACTGCAGTGTGACGGGTCGACAAAGTTAATAAGTTCTCCAGGGCACCTGATTCCATCTGTGATGTTTTCCGAGGTCCGTATGACTGTCATCGTCGGAAACCCATGGGTGATCTCGTCTTTACTTATCACCCGTGGGCAAACTCGCTGAAATATTGCCGTAAAATATGCTAATTTGTTGTTTTTAGTCAACCAATCAGAAAGTTGGAACTCTTCAATTTTAAAATACGTTTATTACTTTGCTATTTATGATAAATATTTTTGACGTTCGTTAAAACGTGCGAAGTTTGATTTAAAAGAATGAAAGTCAATTCGTACAGGTCACTGACATTAATATCCGCCAGATATTATGAAGGAGTACCTCTTTTTAACTGCAAAATGCACCTTTGAGTGGATTTATCAGCTGTGTTAACTACGGAATGAGTTTTTTCATGTTTTTGGCAATGCCGAACATGCATACGTAACGTGAACTGTGATTCGTTGTTTCGCATCGCGATTCTGTGATGCGGCCAATCAATTGACCCATGCATATTTAATTACATACGACGATTTTTCGGCGAGTTTGCCCACGGGTGATAAGTAAAGACGAGATCACCCGTGGGTTTCCGACGATGTATGACTGAGTCCTGCTCCCAGTCTGTATTCTTTCATTCGTGATACACCACAGGCACCTGAAGTATGGATAATACCCCCCCCCCCCCCCCTCTTTTTTTTTAATGAAAAAAAAATGTAAGAGTGTATAATACTTCGAAAATATAAAATTTCCCCCTCCAACACATCTATATGTCGTTATATGCAAGCAGATTGTACTTTTTCTCACGTTTAAAGAATGGCCCTATTCGGTATATAAAAATACACAAGGTAAGAAACAAAAATTGTAAACAAACAGGGGTTTCAAGGTAATAACAGTGTTACCTATCATAATTTTGCAAACACTTTCTGGGAGATGTTCTTTTACAGTAAAATAGCGTTTGATATATTTATTAATCGGATACATAAAATTTTCTCCATTGGCAGCGTTGTGTTCATTTTTTTTTTTTTTTTGGTTTTTTAATAATTATTTAAACTCTTGTTTAATATTTTAATAAATCATGTTACATTTTTTTTCATTAAAAAAAAAAGAGGGGGGGGGGGTTCTACTTCAGGTGTATTTTTATATACCGGGGCCATTCTTTAAACGTGAGAAAAAGTACAATCTGCTTGCATATAACGACATATAGATGTATAAAACGAAATTTTATATTTTCGAAGATTATAAAAATTAAAAAAAAAGAGGGGGGGGGGTATTATCCATACTTCAGGTGCCTGTGGATACACTTAATTTGAGCAATATACAATTTCATTTCTCACAGACCTCTTGTTTAATATTTTAATAAATCTTTAAATAATATCATAAAACTAAAAAGTAGGATCACATAACAAATACCTCTCAGAATTGATGTTTTGAAGGATTGGGAATATCGATGGTACGTGGTAGTAAAACTTATACCAAGGGGTACGGTAAGGCCCGACTGGACCCGAGTGTCAGTTTTACGGACACAACGCCTATATATGTCGTCTCCCTTGGAAAAGCCTTCACAGCGGCGTTATTAGGAGTACTGATCACTGAGGCACGGGAATCCCAGAGTCAGTCTGTTGGGTAAGCTGAAGAAAAAAAAACTAATTTATTTTTTTTAACTATAGTGAGTCTCGTATTTAGCGTTTGTTGTGATTAGTAGTCTTTTAGTGTACCAGCTAAGGTTACTGTTGTTGAGCGGGGGTTGTATAGATACTAGATAACTTAGTGAAAGTTACTTATAAATCTAGAATAAATCTACTCAATATCTAGTATAAAACTATATTTAACCTAGTGATTGAATGATCAGTAAATTTACTATAGTCTTCTTAGTTCTTACGCAGATGACCGTGTACGTCTACGTGTACGTGTAGTCAGGGAAATCCTCTAATTTTATGCTATTTACGACATCAGTTTTGCATACCGCGTAATTCTACAAGTTGTACACAACGCGTAGATTCGCAAGTACACGTAGTTGAGAACTTGTAGCTTCTTAAACTTAAACTACAGAATATATATTTTTCAGTCTGTGTTTGGTATGAAGTTGAGAATTTATTACGTACATCTAATGCACCTTTTTTATTTCAAGTCATAAATTTACTTGATAAAAATGGATTGTAAAGTGCCTTGCTGAAATGACGTTTTACACGTACCGGTACACGTGCAGTTTGTTAAACAGAACACGATGATAGTTACGCGTACGTGTAAAATCCCTTCTAGGTTTACACGTACAAGTAGACGTACACGGTCAAATGCTTAACCTCTCTATTCACTAAGTTATTTTTTTTTTCAGTGTAGAGTCTTTACGTACTGGGCCAGTTATTTAGTCAGTGTCTAAATAGATGAAAGATTAAGAGATGAAAACTGGTCCCCAAAGAAGTAAATTGTCTCAATGAATATCTCTTTTAAATAGTATATGAAGACATATATAATATGTGAATGTATGGGCAAAGGGAAATAACTGTTAAAATGTTCCTCCAATCGCAACTTCTCGGTACTTTCCGACTAGCGGAAAAACGACCTCGAAGTTGTTTTTCGACCCTCTGACGGAAAGACCCGAGATGATGTGAATAAATGTTCCTCTTGTAAAAACTATGGAAGCTGCAATGAGTCTCTAGTGATGAATTAATTCATCTGCTTAGTGCTGTAAGCAGAGCCTAATTTTTGTCTTTCAAGATTTATTAACAAGTGAAGGTTATTTTTTAAGTTTATGCCGATCATGATTGATAAGTTAAACTGAAATATACATGTATAATTTTCCTGTGGAATTAATTTTTGTTGAAAATATAGACATGTGGCTGTTTTATTGCTACCTTGTGTTAATTCAAGGAGGGTCACAAATACTCTCATACTCTATGATAGGATGCTTTTGTAAACAAGGTCAATGTGTCCACAGGTACTTGTGGACAGGACTCCCTCCCCCTCGAATATACCCCCCCCCCGGATCCAAAAAAAATTTTGTTTCAAAATTATTCTTCTAACATATATTAACAATGTATTCAATATTAAAATTCCCAAACAAATAATGTAGAATTAACGATTTTTTAAAAAAAATATCATACCCTCGGTATTTTAGAATAGAGAAGGGAAGTCACCTCCATTTGTTAACACTTGAATAACGAAACATATCATATACCTTAAACAACACCTGTTTCGACTTGTAATTTATTTGGCCAGACATTCCACAATAATACGAGTATTCATCGACAAACGGGAAAAATGAAACCAGATTTTGAATGTCAAAGCAGAAATTACGGAAGTGATGCAAAAATATTTCCATTTATATTTTTTTTTCTTTGTGATAACTCTTTGAAAGTTGGGGAAGTTTATTTCTTGATAATTCTGCCGGAATGTATATTAAGCAGGTCGATACAGCCTAATAGGCATGCAAATTGTGCGGCTGCCTTTGTGTTTTCAGAAATTGAAATTGGCATGGAAGTCCTGGTCTAATTTCTATTAGTACATTTTTAAAGTACAATTTTATTTCACAACGAAATGGAAATATAAGGAATCACTGTGTAGTTAGTATAGTATGCCAGGAACATCAACGATAGTGGGAAACATGGGATAATTTATGCATAACGGGCTTCGCCTTTATTTATATCCTTCGTACTTAATGTTTTATTGCAGTGCAGTTATTGTAAAGGCCTATTTACACGGTCTGACAAGAAAGATGGGATATTATTATAATATCATTTCAGATGTGATTTTACATCTGACTCCAGTGTTTTAATTACATTGTATAATTTGCCATGTATGTAGTTCATATTCCCCTCCAAATGTATTAATGTTTACAATTTAACCACAGAAAACAACAAAAATATTCCATTTCGTAATTTTCAGCTAGTTTACAGTGTGTGAAAAACAAAAATATGATTCTTGCAAACATGCCAAATGCCCGGTTCGATTTCTTGATGATCCTCGTTTTTTATTATTTACATGTACTAAATGATAGTACTCAGCATATGAAATAAGGAAGTTATGACGGATACATTCTTTTGCAAAAAAATCACTAATAAAATGTGATAAATATTTTATTTCAAAAGAATCTTCGTGTACACATTTAAAAAATCAAAGTACTGAAAGCACTCTTGGGAGTTGAACACGGTGTAAATGAAATCTTTGATCGGGAGGTTAAGTGAGGGCTGAACAATATTTATTTCAAATACAGACAACTGTTTCACATTTTTTGAGTTGCAACAATCTTGATCGAGAAAGACATTCAGAGATATTGAATAGCAAAAAAAATGCATGGGTCATAATGCTTGCCTGCATACATCAGTACATTAGTCCTTTTTTATACCCCCTGCTTGAAAAGCGGGAGGGTATTATTAATCGGGATTTACGTCCATCTGTTTGTTACGCTTTAGGTTTACCCATCTTTTATCCGCAACTCCGCTAACACCACTGAACAAAATTTTCACAGAATCTTGATTACATATTGCTGTAGTGCTTCTTCCATTACTTTTTCATCCTACACATATTTTGGGTTTCCCATTGCAAAACATGGACACTGCCATTATATTCATGTTAGAGGCGGTTGATCATTTATATCACTGCTCACAGTCTTCAAATTTGTAATATATTTTTCCTTTGCACCTTTACCCATGTGTTATGAACATTTCAGTTTCGCACGAATAATATAAATGTTGATAAAATGTGGATTTTCACACAGCATCCTTTTAAGAGCTAACAGGTATGTGATATAAAACTTCTCTGTGAATAAAAATGTATTTTAATTACACGAACATTATACAATTTTAATCTTTTTTTAATATTGTGAAGAAAAGAGCAATACTAATATATATAATAATATAATAATATTGACAAAACATGACAACAGTGGAATATGTGAGAGTTTGTGTGCGTACAAATTATCTGGTATGTAAATGAGGTTTTCCTTTTTATTAAAAAAATATACTATTTTGTTGTTTTTAATCGCATTTTACATCAAAACATCGCGTGTCCGTTTTTGGTTTTAATATTTATAACAGAGTACTAGTTTTACCGCTTTTGGCAGGTGATACTGCTGATTTAGTAATAAATACGTATGTTTCCTAAATTTTTATGTATTAATGAATTCATTTAAACCAAGAAAATGTTCATGAAAAGTTTGAATAAGACTAAATTTACCGTTTGCCGTCAGTATGTAGAGTTGTCATCTCTTTCATGTATGAACACTAAAAATGAGTTCCATAACGAAAAACTTTCAAGCCTTAGGTTCTTTATAATTTAGTTTTACATATGTACTTTGAACGAAATCTAATATTCAAAATAAGATTACTTTATCGTTACATTTACTTACAATATGGAAGTTAGATTAAATCAGGAGAAAATGACATGAACTATTTGTGGCGGAATATTTTTCTGTTGATATCATCAGTAAATCAGCCGACACAGTAGCCTCGCTTTCGGCACATATAATCAACACAAATTACTGCGCATGTTAAATACGTGATGACCATGGGAGATTGAACATAGTTCAACTCCCAAAAATATACAGCCAGATCTACATTTTTCAATAGCTTCAGTACATGCATTTAGATTTCATAATTCAAAAATCCAGGGAAGGGGTAGCATTTTCTTTTGCCTTATGCGGGGGACAGGAATTTTTTTGAATTAGTTTGCTACGTATATTGCGTTTATATCTGTGACTAATATTTTGATACTGATACCTTGCATATTTTTTTATTTTTTATTTTTGTTGTTGTTTGTCTCTGACATCTAGTCTGATACGACTTTTTTCAGTTTAACATCTACCTTTGGCTTTCCTGGCGCCACGACCATAAACTGAGAATAGACTTAAGTCAAAATTTCAAATCAATGTAACTTTAAAATAAATTTTAAATTGAAGCAGAATTTTCAAGGTATATTTGTATTCAAATATCTAACGAACGTGAAAGTTTTTAGTCAATTTGTTTAATAATAATTGAAATATTCAAAATCTTAATTTTGACTTAAGGTAGGACACAATAGATAGGCCAAATTTTTCTTCAAATTCAATATTCCTGAAACTTTGATATTTTGTTCTAAGATACAAACTCTCTTTATGTATGAAATGAAAGAAATTCGACCGCACATTTTTTGCCCACACAGTCTGAAATATGGCCTATCAGACCCCTGTAAGAAGATTGTGAAATCAGACATTAAAATTTTAGAATTATCAATCTATTGCAAATTTGTGTAATACTAATTATAGGAATAACATTTTGCTACTTAAACTCAGTAAGTTATATTGATACTGGAAAATTTGAGTAAAATATTATGTAAAAATAGAACATAATTTGCAAATTTACATGTAAATATCCGCAGTTTAAGTTTTCTGAGAAAATGTTAAATTCAATTTTTACAAAAAATCAACAGAATGATTCAAATGGGTCTTAGAATAAAATGTGTAAAAATAAAGAAAATTGAACCGGTGGTTTCAGATATTTTTGCGATCAAAAAAATTTCAATGGCAAAAAAACTAAAAGATTCAGTAGATGACATCACAATATTTGACCTTTGACCTCTTGATATGACCTTGACCTTAGTAGTACATAAAGAATGGAGACTCCGTATATACGTGTCCAAATATCATTCCTCTACTATGTATGGAACAAAAGTTACACTGCATTTTATAACAGACTGTCACATGCTTGTTTAATATTACACTTAGTTAGCATAAAAACATTTCAAAATGTAACATGACAATATATAGGATTCAAAATATGACTAAACATGTCTTTTTTTTTCTTATAGTAATATTATTCTTCAGACTTTTTAAGAAATGGGTTAAAATAGAATCCATTAATTTCAGTTTATTGTATTTAAAATTTTCAATTATCTATAAAATCTTTAAAACTTGTTAACGGAAACTCATTATTTGCATAAACAGCAGATTGATGATACAAAATCGGAAGGCATGTTCATTTTGGGCTGCTTGATCTCTAAAAAAGTTTAGCATCTAAGATATTTTTTGAATAAGATGCTTCATATTATTCACTCATTTTAGCAGTTTAACAAAATCTAACTGTTTTTTTTTTCAGATAAACCATTAATTTTAGATTTAAAATTCAATCATCGTATGAAGGAAATTTTAATGCCAGACAGCGAGATTTATAAGTCATATTTCTTTTAATTTATATATAATTTATATATAAATTGTAAATATGTAAACAGTAAACACAGAGGACATCATAGTAAAGCATTGCCATAGATTGTACGTCATGGTGTATTCAAATTCGAATTCAAATTCATGGATACAATGTTTCTGATTTTATTCTAAACACTATGATTACAGGCGAGACTGGAATACAAAACTGTCTGCTGTATTCAAAGAGGACTTCAAACTGCCGGATAAATTTCTTCAGTCCGAATTGACAATCAAGGACCTACTGAGTCAACGCACGGGGTTTAGTCCTGCGGATGTATACACGGGGGTACCGAAAATAGGCCGGGGTGAATTTGTAAAGTAAGATAAATAACAAAAATTATTTTCATTTAAATCGTGAAAGTACTGTAGTAATTAAAAGAAAACAAAATATTTTATTTTTTTTTCCTTCGGAATTTTTATAATTTTTAAATAGTAAATATCTATAAAGTCGGACTCAGATATTTGAATATGATTTCAGGAGATTAAAGTATTTACCAAAGAGCGCTTCTTTTCGGGATACATGGATCTTCAATGACCTTCTGTACGCGATAGCTGGTCACGTGGCGGAAGTGTGGACTGGCAGAGAATATGAAAAACTAGTTGACGAGAAACTTCTGCGGGCTCTTGGAATGTCTCAGGCTGTTTGTGGGACCAATATTTATCCAAACAGTTCTCAATCGGAGTACGCACTCCCATATCATTCCGCCGGGGAAGGAGTGCGACCAGGAAATCAAGATATATACCAGCAAGTATTCAACTCCTTTACATATAACGATGAATTAAAAAATGTTAATGGTATCAAATTCCTTCTATTTTAACCAGGACTTGCCCATCTCTCTAACGTTCTCTCTATTTCTGCTGTGTGTTCATGATTAATATTAAACCATCATCTCTATTTCAAAATAATTTCTTCAAGCAAATTCAAAGTATTGTGATCTTCCGCCGTCGATGTCTTTTTGTGTGTTGAGATGTAATTTTTATATGGCATATTGTGTCAAATACGAACGTCTTATCATGGGGCATTCAGAAGTTGTCACCAAAGGTTTTTTTTTAAAATAAGGTAAATCGTGAAGGCCAAGGTGAAGGGATCAGAAATCGCAGCATGCTTGTGAATATCTTGCCATAGGTATTGCACATATCAAATATAAAATCCTATCTATTCTCAATCAAAAATCATGAGGAAAAATTAACCTTTTTTGAAAAGTAGGTCAAACTTCAAGGTCATGGGGTCAAAAATTAGAAAAAAAAATATTAGGAAAGGTCTTGTCACAGGCAATACATAGGATTCATATGTCAGCTCTATCTCTTCTCATTCAAAAGTTGTGACCAATGTTAAAGTTTCTATAAAGTAGGTCAAACTTCAAGGTCAGGAAGTCAAAAACATAGTTTTTTTGTAGAATGTCTAATCACGGATTTTATACATGTGTAATATGAAAGCTCTATCTTTACTTATTCTAAAAGTTATGGCAAACTCGGTGTAATGTTAATTTCTTAAAAAGTACTTCAAGGTCAAGGGGTCAAAAATCACGTACATGTATCTGTTAAACATTTTCTTCAATACTTTCACAGAATAGGAGATGTTGGACCGGCCGGATGTATCTCTGCGTCACCTTTAGATTTAGCGAAGTGGATTCGATTCATGGCTTCTGGAGGCAAAACAGTGGAAGGACATCAATTAATTCATCCAGATGTTTTCAAGGAAATCATTGAACCACAAATGTTATTGGATGCTTCATCCAGAAGTCGATTCCGTCTTGACGAGGATTTCCCTGTTCAGGCCTCCGGGACCTGGTACGGTTACGGGTGGTATGGCGGGTCATATAGAGGTACGTGTGTATACGTCGTATATACCGGTATTTATTTGCCATAAATGATAGTGATCAGGTTAGCAATGTTCCCTTGGGCCTCTGTTTTGTAAAATTCTTCTCTGAATCATATTTGCTGTTCTTGGGGCTTTTTTTGTTTATAAATCAACCACAGAGTTATCGTGTGTAAAGCAAACTCTAACAAAATTCTAAGGCAATGGTCACGGTAAATGAAAATTTCTGTTTGAAAGCACATCCGTTTAATTACCTGAAGAATTATAAAGAGTCTATGATTCCTCAATAATGTGTGTGAAGTTCTATTCAGCTACTTTATTAAGTCGTCCGTTCAAGTCAAATCAGACCTCTGTTTAAAAAGGTCATCAGTTGCTTAAAATCCTTATCAAGTCTTATTTTTTTTCCTTTGAACTATTTTGCCTACTTTTTTATGTTTTATTTCGAATGCCTAATTTGTTTCAAGTTTTATCAATGAAAATTCAGCATGTATATGAATGAATTCCGAATGTCGTCAACTTGTATGTAGAATTTTTATTGATAAAGTTTTATTATTTTCTAGGGTTTAAAAAGCTGCTTCATCCAGGAACCTGGTACGGCTATTCCGCTGTAGCTGGATTCTTCCCTGATCAGAATGCTGGATTTGTCATATCTGTAAATGGGCCCTGGTACATGGATTATACACACTCTCTCGCACCGTTAACGTATGTACTCTCAGACATTCTTCTGGGTGAAAAACCGTGGCTAGACAACACCACCATGTGCAGTTTCCCCTCTCCATGGAAATCCACAGGAACATCTGCTACAAACAACAACACAGTGTCCACCCAGGCAAGCCGTTTGGACATGAGTCAGTTTACTGGTGACTACGGTCATCGAATCTTTGGAACTTTGAAAATCCGAGAGATAGAATCTCAAAAACTGTCCTTCAAAATGAATACTGCTGGGATTGGTAATCTCACACTTTTGTCTGATGACGTAGCAAAATTCCGAATGACGTTCAACGAGCTGTTGAATGACGTGGCAGAGAGCACGTGCAGTCTGCAGTTCTACACTAAATCAGAGGGAAAGTATCAGAAGGTCACGATCACCTGCTTTTATTCAACTTTCGAATACCAAAGAGGAGTTAATTTTCTGAACCCCGAGCCCGACACTAATGCAACAGCAAAGCTTATTCAAACCTGGCCCCATCTTCTCCTTTGTTTTATATACGTTTTATATATTCAGTGACAGATGGTATAAAAAAAAAAACCTTAATTTGTCTTTATTTTTGGACCTTTTTGGACCTCTAAAGCAAATATTACTATAAATTTCTCAAACATTAAATTATTGTAATTTTCATTACTGTTTAAACTTCTATTCGAAAATTCTAATAAGTCTTTTACAATAGCTTGTTCAATTTAAATCACATTAGTGTGAAACTTTTACTACTATTAGTAAATGAAAAGTTAAAACAGATTTGTTCATTTCACTTACGTGAATATGACTTAAGTTGTTATTTTTATGATTTTATAATCGTTTTGTATCATCATTCCTGAACAAGACTAATTTCTTCATCATGTAACAAATTTAAATAAATTTTGGCAATCTTTAAAGAAATTATTTAATTTTTTGCTTTTTTGTTACAGAATATTTAGCAGATGTACCAAAATTTATATAAACGAAAAGAAAACTAATGTTTCAATTCAGTTTTTCTTAGTGCCAAACATTCAAAACATCTTTCAAACTCACGTATAGATCAAACATCAATGTTAAAATGTTCGATCATTTCGACCTACTTTTAATTACTTTTTATTCGTTTCATTTCATTACTGTCTGTCTGTCTGTAAACTTTTCACATTTTCGACTTCTTCTCAAAAACCACTGGGCCAATTTCAACCAAACTTGGCACAAAGTATCCTTGGGTTAAGAGGATTCAAGTTTGTTCAAAGAAGGGCCACGCCCTCTTCCAAGGGGAGATAATCATGAGTTTGTTAAAAATTAATGGCGTTTTTTAAAAATCTTCTCCAGAACCGCTGGGCCAGGAAAGATGAAACTTATGTGGAAGCATCCTCAGGTAGTGTAGATTCAAGTTTGTTCAAATCATGACCCCCGGGGCAAGGATGGGGCCAAAATGGCCGAAAGTTTTACATAGGAATATATAGGAAAAATCTTTAAAAATCTTCTTCTCCATAGGACAGGAAAGATGAAACTCATGTGGAATTGTCCTCAAGTGTAAAAAAAGGTGGGGCCAAAATGGCAATTTTACATAGAATATATAGGAAAAATCTTTAAAAATCTTCTTCTCCAGTCACTGGGCCAGGAAATATGAAACTCATGTGGAATCATCCTCAGGTAGTGTAGATTCAAGTTTGTTCAAATCATGACCCCCAGGGCAAGGGTGGGGCCAAAATGGCCGACCCAAGTTTTACATAGGAATATATATGAAAAATCTTTAAAAATCTTCTTCTCCAGAACCACTAGGACAGGAAAGGTGAAACTCATGTGGAATCATCCTCAGGTAGTGTAGATTTAAATTTGTTCAAATCATGACCCTCGGGGCAAAGGTGGGGCCAAAATGGCCGACCCAAGTTTTACATAAATACGTTCTTTTCAAAATCTTCTTCTCCAGAACCACTGGGCCAGGAAAGATATCATGTGGAATCATCCTCAGGTAGTGTAGATTCAAGTTTGTTCAAATCATGACCCCCAGGCCAAGGGTGGGGCCAAAATGGCCGACCCAAGTTTTACAAAGGAATATGTTCTTTCAAAATTTCTTCTCCAGAACCACTGGGCCAAAGATGAAACTTGTGGAATCAGGTAGTGTAGATTCAAGTTTGTTCAAATCATGACCCCCGGGGCTAGGGTGGGGCCAAAATGGCCGACCCAAGTTTTACATAGCGATAAATAGGGAAACCTTTTAAAATCTTCTTTTCAAGTACTTCAAAGCTATGATTAGTGATATTTATATGGAATCATCCTCAGGTAGTGTTGATTCTAGTTTGTTCAAATGATGAACGCCTGGAGGGGGGGGAGTAAATTCCAGCCCGATGTGCTCAGGTGAGCGCTGTGGCCCCTGGGCCTCTTGTTATTCGTTTCATTTCATTACACGAGACAAAGAGCTCGCGAATATGTCATTCTCGCGTATGATAATTTTCCCTTTAAGATTATACACATGTAGATTATTAAGAAAAAAACAATTTATGAAAATTATGTTTCGCTAATTAAGAGTCAATGATGGTCGCCAAAATAAGGTTTCGCGAAAATTTAATGATATAGAGTATGATCTATAGTACTTTATGCCCCTGCACTACTATGTTTATTTTACACTGAAAGCTTCAGGTAAATCTTTCATACCATAAATATACAGACTGAGGAACGTTTGATTGCATTGAGCTTGCGAAGCAAACGTTTTGGCAGTGTTGTATTGAATAAACTAACTCAGTAACCTCAGGTTACCAATTATAAAATTATAAATTGCTATATTTGTTTTTGTGCGTCGTGTGTTAACATTTTTAAACATTTTTAGCTTTTTCTCTGCAACCGTGCTACCAATTTGGACAAATTTTGGTACAAAGCATAAATTGGTAAAGGGGAACGAGAATTATGAATTTAACGGTCCCTGCCCCTCTGTTCCTTAGGGGTGAGACAGAAACCACTAAAATTAATCCAATCTTATATCAACGTAATCTTAAAAAATCCTCTTCTTACTCCTTGACATCAAGCAGTCAAACTGTTAGTATGATTGTAATCAGCATTGAGTCCTCTACCAAAATCGTGAAATCATGTCCCCTGGGCCAGGGATTCTAGTGCTAGGGTGGGGCTGTGTAGATTATATAGTGAAAATGCCTTCTTTCTTCTCTGCTTCTTGGTATTGAACAAACAAATTGTTATGACGAGGAAGGGTGTCTTTTCCAAAATTATGAACGTCATGGCCTCAGGGTCAGTGGTTCTGGTTTAAGAGTGGGACTCTATTGATTCTATAGTGTAAATGCAAGAATTCTATGAAAATATCTGCTCTTGGGTATTCAGCAGATCTAGATGTTTTACCCAAATATCTTTGATGAGCAATGTTTCTTCTTGCAAATTTATAATTGTCAAGGCCCCTTGTTCAGGGTTACAGTAAGGCGTTCTAGTGCGTGTATAGTCTCGTTTTCCCCAGACTCTCGCTCTCGAGACTTTGCCCGAGCGAGAGTCTGGTCTGATTCGTATTTTATTTCTGTAATTTCAAGCCGAGGCTTACCGAGAAATCGGTATGGATTTTCACTGGCTGATACATTCTCTTCGATGCTAAGATCTATATTCTTTAAAAAGTCAGAGGCTGCGCCTTTACTTTTATATGGTTTTATAATAAAATACCCCTGTCTGCTTTACAAGGAACAAAAAAAAACCTCTTTGTTTAAAAAGTAAATTCTCTTATGTATTTTCATGGGAGTCTCGAGAGCGAGAGTCTGGGGAAAACGAGACTAGTGCGTGTAATGACAAATAATGAACCCTGTCGAATAGGGACCGAGGGTCATTTTTCAACGACGGAAATGACAAAAAAAAAAAAAACAAACAAACAAAAAACAAATTGCAGAGAATGTTCCCTAGCCGTCATTATTTTATATGCTAGTCCTTAAACAATTGATCCCCGATTGAAAAATGACCCCCTCTACAGTGATACAAAAATTTATAACAGATGAAAGGGAAAAATATACTGTACGATTGTTCTTCCTTCGAGTCCTTTTGCATGTGTTCGAATATATTTGATATTTTTTCTGTTCTTCATAGCACATAGGGGTAATTAAGATCCTCATTTTTCTCTGCCGAAATATTGACAAATCAGTTTTAAGCAAAAGTTTCTCTGATAAAGGAGCAAAACCAGCAAATCAAAGATGGCACATAAATAAAACGCACGCTAGAGATGAAAAAAATTTATGAATATGGTGTATTTTGTCAAAGGCCTATCCCCAAGCCAATATTTAAGCCCCGTAATAAATTTTTTGCCCCGTCTGAAAGCCTTGTTGTTTTGTCTGTTTGTTGAGCCACAGCTTTCATATTTCACACGTGTATTCCTCGTGACAAATATGTCTTAGGGTATCAAACATTTTATCCTTTTGACCTTGACAGTTTGAGTGTAACTTGCGTTTGAGAAAATCCAACCCTCGCCCTGAATTTGTACTTTGGTTATAACTTTTGAACGTCAGATAAAAGTACTCTCATACTTCACACGATCTTTCATCGGATACCAACAACTATGACATTTGACCTTGACCTTGGATATTTTCGTACTTATAAAAGTTTTAAAAATTGGACAAAATTTTTTAACAGTAAGGGCTAGAATTTTAATACTTAACATATGTAATTCTTGTTACATTAGACCTTTCTTAGAATCCAACAACTTTGACCCTTTGAGTTTTACCTTCCTTTCAACAACTAAGTTTTAGCCATTACTTTTGAAAATGTGCTGCTACGGTTTGATACGTATTTTACCATCGTATTTCCTGTGAGAAGACCCTATTTTGGGTACCAATATATTTAAAATGCATATACGAAAAGCTTAATCTTAAGGGGGCATCAGTGTTTCACAGACACATCTTCTTATATATACTGCGCATCCCATATGGCTGAAATGCCAGACTTCATGTTTTATGTTTTTCTCTTGGAGACTCGAAATAAAAGTAAGATGAAGAATTAAATAGGAGACACGCAATGAAATTATGGCATAAAGAATACGTGAAGTATAATTAGAAACGATGGGGGAACAAGGTGTGCACTATGCCTATAGCTTCACATATTAAATAATCTTATTATATCTTTATTGTAATAAATCTTTATAAAAGTAATACCATAAAACTGTCTATTTCCCTGAGAAGAGACTATTTTCCTCATATGAAGACAACTCCCTGGAAAATCAGAGCTACTCCCTGGGACTACTCCCTCATGAATATTTATTTGTAATTTTTAACCAATCAAAGTATTCAGTGGGGGGAGCGTTCAAGGAATCTCGAGTCTGTGACGTCATTGTTTTTAGCAATGTAACTATTGGTATCCAAAATAGGGTATTCGCATTGGAAATACACTTGTGAAATATAAAAGTAGGCCAAGGTTAAAAAGTTTTTTCATAAGTAGGGAAATCTCCAAGGTCAAGGCAATTAGTATCCAATAAAAGGTCTTGCCACAAAGAATACATATTCGAAGTATGGAAGCCCTAGTGCCAACCCTTCAAAAGTTATGGCTAAGATTACAGATTTTAATAAGTAGGTCTA